CCCAAATACCATTTTTCATATCCCACTAAATTTTGTAAGATAGATTTACTAAAATACTTCTGAACAAACAGGATGTCCAGAGAAGATGTCCTATACTTCCTGAATCTTGCCAAATTCTTTATCTCCACAAAACATTCTATGCAATGTTCAATGAACAACGTATTTGCTTTTTACAAGTTCTTTCTCTTCTTTCTTTCATGATCAATATACTTTTATCCCTAGTACAATATAGCAAGAAAAGAGAGCATCTAATCTTTCAGCTCCTGTTTATCAATGTATTTCTTGCACTGGTGGTCCAAAATTAGATGCAGTATCCTAGACATGGTCTAACAAGCTGCAAGGGGTTCTTCCTTTCCAAGTGCAGGACTTCACATTTGTCCTTGTTCAGACTCCTGAGGTTCCTGTCTGCCCGTTCATTCAGCAAGGTCAGGTCCCTCTGGATGGCAGCCCTGCCCTTGAGCATATCAACTTGTTCCCCACCACACCAACACTCCCAGATTTGGTCTCATCTTCAAACTTGAGTGTACTTGACCTTGTCCTTCAGGTCATTGATAAAAATGTTAAGCAGGACAGGTCATAATATAGACTCCTGTAGTATTCTCCTTGTTACCAGCATCCAGGTAGAACAGCACCTATTAACCACTACCACTGAGCTTGATCCTCAAACCAGTTTTATTTTACTCGTCTAGTTGTTCGTACATCCAGACTGCAGTGCCCTAACTTAGAAGACCATCATGGGAAACAGCCAAAAGCCCTGCTAAAGACAAGGTAAATAGCGTGCATTGCTCTCCCTTGCCCGTAAGTCTAGTCATTTTATCATACAAGGCAATCGGACTCATCAGACATGATTTATCCCTGCTAAATCCATACTGACCATTACCAACCAAATCATCTTCTTCATGTGCCCAGAAAAATGTTCCAAAACTTGTTCCATGATTTTCCCAGGGACTCAAACAAAGCTAGCCAGACTGTAATTCCGTGGCTGTACCTTTGGGATTGTTTTTTTCAGGTGTTGGTTTTTGGTTTGTTGGGTTTTGGGTGGGTTTTCTGGGGGGGTGGGGAGGGCAGGGTTTGTTTGTTTTCTGTAACATTTTTATCTCACATATTTTAAGCTTACAAGCCATAAAGCAAACCTTAATACATTTCATTTGCTATCATGTGGACTATTTGGCTTTCAATTTACTAGTTAGCATTTCTGTAACCAAGATACTATGAATGTGCTCAATTCAATTCATACCCACTTTGAATTAAATGAAAACAGTAGTATTAGCTACCACCCTAACACAGACACTTGTGCCTACACATTTTTTTTCAGTTGTTAAAAATGACCAGTTATTTGGACTCTTTTTGATCTAAGAAAATACTTTATTTCTCATGGTTTCTCAGCCCCTTTGGTAAACTGTGGCAATGAATTCTCTATAAAAGGTACTTACAACAGCCACTGACAACAATCTAAGGCACTGCATAATTCCGATTTCTGAAAGCCTGGATATCTGTCGGAAACTTCAGGTTTCTGCTAAAAGCTTCCACCACATCTGTCAGAAGCATTTCAGCCTGGGAGAAGTCGCATAAAATTCTCAAGGGTTTTCAACTTGCTTATTTTTAAAAACAAAACACAAATACACCACCCCCCCCCAAATAACTTTAAGACTATTTCAATTAAGCAGTTTTTACAGAGTTTCTGCCCATATGCAGTGATAGAAGCTGAACAAACATATTTAGATTTTCTGAACTATAGCCCACTTTTTCTTTTGCTTTGATTCACACTTTTTGGAACACTCCATGCTCAGCACAACATCCACTTCCTACAAATCTGGTGACTCACTTTTTCAGGCATCTCTTAAAAAGATTCATTAACTTGTAATTACTCAAAAAAAAAATCAATTCTAAGCATAAGCTTCTAATGTTACTGCTGTATGAAAAATCCACAAGGAGATATTACGCTGTTTCTACAAACACAAGCAAAAAGAGGCATTGCACTGGTTGTCTATAAAAGTATTAAGCACAGAGTAAGTCTGAGTACAGATATTGCCCCCACCATCTCCTTCCGCCTTTATCTCACACAGTTTTACGCTTACACATCATGTTAAAAGTATTTTAAAAAGCAAATCCAACTTTAAATATCTGCTTTTAATTGCTATTTACTGGTGATCTTGAAGACTCATCCCACTTTTATCCTTAACAATGCTGGTGTTACATAGACATTAACTCCTTTGGGCACATAACTTTTCCCATGCATAATGAAAGTGCCTTTATACAAAGTAAACATTCACATCTTTCAACTGTAAGTAACATGTCATCTTCAACTTGGTCTATCTATGTGACATACTTCAGTTTAAGCCTACCTCTGCCTCAAAGAAAAAAAAAAAAGTATACTAGTTTCCTTGCCACTGCTTACTGATGCTCCCTCTGTCTGGTTTCTACCCTTCTTTACAGATTATGCTGATACAATTGTTTACACACTATGTAGTAAACAGGATCACTCACATGATTCACTAAAACAAAACAAACAGAACTCCAAACACTCAAGAAAAAAAAAATCATTAGAGTATAACTGAAAGGCAGCTCAAGAGGCAGCACAGAGATTGGACTGAGTGACTGGGAATGCCAGAAACTGGTATTGCCAAAGCCCACAACTTATGAAACTGCAGCCCCAGATCATTCATGAACTATTTTGAATTATCTGAAGGTTTCTCTCTGTTACTAAATTAACATTTCAAGGTATTATCTTTCATAAACCCCAGAATTGATAGAAGTCCTATATATGAGCTTCTAAGAAATGTTTACAAATACTGTGGCAAAAAGAATTTATGCAGGTTTAAATATAGGTCATTGATAGGATAATGACATATTCCTAAAAGAGATGCACTTATTAGAAGTTCTGTGAACAATGATAATAAACGTTCCTGCATGCAAATATTCTGGCATAGTTTTATGTTTTTGTTTGTACTTTGAAAACACCACAGAGTTCTTTAAAGTAGTTTTTGTGATTCAAGATTAAGCCTGTATTTACCAACATCTACCACCTGCCTTTTCACAACAGTAATTTATATCTATTATCTCTAACAATGCATTTTTCCCTCTCCTCCAACTATCTCACAATTTACTATTCAGATACTCAACTAGATGAAAAAACAGACCATATTGCCAAGAAACAAGCACAGAATCCAAAATTCTCCATACTGCTGTATTAATGCTTTAAACCTTTTACAGTACCACAACATCTAATATGCAAAATTTACAGTAATGTATTCCTATGCATAATCTTAAACCCCTTCTGTAGTTGATCACTATGGCTACTGATCCAGATACCCACCTGGGCAATTTTCATCAAGACCCCCATCAAATCCTCACATGAGAGCATGTCAAGAACTACCACATACCATCCACTTAATTACAACTACCAAGTTGCTATATCAACTAGATAAAATGAATAAGCATATAATTTTTTGACCTGTATTAGAAAAGCCAAAGCTAACTGAAATTTAAAAACAAACAAAAACCCCAAAACAGCTGACTGTCTTTTAAGCTCATCTATTAGTTAGCAGACTTTCTCAACACTCAATGCCTTGTCAAATTAATAAATTTTAATATGGCTAGACTATTTATAACCATAAAAGAGCACATGGGGGTCTTAAAGTCTTTACAAATCATGAGAAATGTTTATAAAAAGCTATATGCATACTACTTCTTAATCTAAAACCAGTACAATAAATTGGAACATTTTACTTTGTTGAGTCAAACAAGAAAGGTTAAAAACTAAGCTTAAACTGAAAATATTTCATGCACTTAAGTTTTCTAGAGTGTCCAAGAATGCACATCACATCCACAACAGAGTCAAAACAACATGCTTAACGAAACACTAATACAGATAGCATTTTGCACAATTACATGCAGGTAACTTGAAAGCCATGCCATAACCCAGCCTTAAGAAATTAAACACTTGTCTTGTCCCATCATGCCCAGGTATTGCATAACATAGGAAAGTTAACAATGGAAGGTTTAAGAACTTTGACTGCGTTGTACTTTTCCTCATGCTGTGTCATACTACTAAAAAATACTGCGTTAATTACAGACCATATTATTCTGAAAATCAAGAGCTACACTGACCACATTTCATAGAAGGGCATAGAAGTTTTTTAGCTGTGAAGCTAAAAAACAGAGCTGATTTAGGGCATATGAAGTTCTAGGGCCTAACATCAATATATTTGGAAAAAAAAAATACAGTGCTGAGCAACTGAAATCTGCACTTTGTTCATTTCTTGCTGGATATTTAAAATCAACTTGACAGTCATTAAGTAAAATAACTTTACTTGTCCCAGTTCAATCCCTAGTGGACAAAACAAGCACTACAGAACCCCTAAATTTCACTTAACAAGATAGTTAGCCTTTTGAGAGGAACAGTTAAGACAACACCGTATATATTTTAAAACCATTTTCACTATCAATAATACCTTGTTTGCCATTTGTTACACTCCTGCTGCCAGTAACAAACCTTCTATCAGACCCAAACGACAAAATACTCTTTATAAAATTTCAAAAGGGCAAGTAAGAAGAGTGCTAAACCCAGTTTTTAAATCAATTTTTTGACACTTCTCACAATGAGATTTATTTACATGCTCAGATAAAATAGGATTTTTCTCAGCATTTAAAAAAATACTATTAGACCATTATGTTCATACAAGCCTGTGCTTTCAGATTTGTATTATTCACCTCAAAATCACCTAATTCCAGCAACGAATAATACACATGCAAATTTTGCAGTACTTATCACCATTTTCAACTGTTAGTTTTATGTACTTTTAATAATATTTAAAGTTTCTGCTTAGTAAGAAATTATCAACTTACCTGAAAAGTAATCATTTTAACTACAACACAAATCTTACTCTTTCCACATGAAACCATACTTATTACAGCAAAACCAAAGTGATCTGCAATCTACAGGGACTTGCTAAAACACATGTGCAGTTCATTATTTTTAAGTAAAGAAAACATCTTACCTTGCCTGTCTTGTGATCAAACCAGACAAGAGCATGGTTCCTGGACAGCACCTTACAGTCAAAAGTTGCATTATTCTGAGCTGGCCGGCAGCGAGCCACAGAGCGGCCAATCTTGACAGGCTCGTCCAGGTAGACATGACGCTCCTGAAACGGATGAGAGTTCGGGCGGCAAGTGAAGATGGCCAAGGCTGAAGGCATCGAGGACAGATTGGAGTTGCCACACCGACCAGAGATGAAGAGAGCCTCTTCTGATGCAGACTGTCCTCCACAATTTTGAACCCAAACCTCCACAGCAACTTTATATTAAAGCAGGACAAACATTATTGTATGAGAGGCCTAACAACTCATTGTTTCAGTGTGTAAACTAATTCTGGCAATAATCCAGTGAAAAAGCCCCATTATGTCTTTTAATAATATCAGCAGTGGCCCAAAAAAAGTCTAAAATACACAACTTTCAATCCATCCTCCTCCGGAAGAACAGGAACAAGCATCTGATTCCTTCAAAGAGAAGCAAAGGCTCCTTGAAAGAAGGACAGAATGTCTTAAATCCAAGTAGATGAGTCATACAAGTACTTTTGTTTGTAACCTCAACTGCCTTCTTTCCCACCCCCCCCTTCCATAAACAACACTGACCAAAATTCTGACCAATGCAACATGGAAGCAAGGAAAGGTTTAGGGAAGGGGGATGAGGGAGAAGGATTAGCGTCCTCTCTCAAAGCACACAGATCAGGAGTTGGAAGGTGAATACAAAGCCCTCACTCCACAACAGGGATTTAGTCGCTTCACACGGCAATCCGCATTTCACCATCTTCGTATATTAAACCAAAGCAGAATAGGTGGTCCTCAATTTAGGATGGGGTATGAGAGCTATACTGTTTTCCTCCCCTACACCAGATACAGCTGAACTGTTCTACAGTTTCAGGCAGCCACTCAGATAAGGAACTTGATAAGGCATGGAGAGGGCTTCAAATTCTCCTTCTCTCGCGGACAAACTAACGCGTGGGAAGGGTCCTTCGGGGACGGCCTACGAAGTGCACTGACAGGTTGCTCCCAGGCGGTGCCCGCGGTGGCTCTGGCCGGCAGCAGCGGGCAAGCGTCCCTCCGCGGCGGGTCTGCTGGCGGCCGGTCTGCT